GGCCCTGGGGTTTAGTTTGGGCATGTACTGTACTTACTCTTTATTTTAAGTTGTTGAATGTGTTGGTGTTTTATAAATATGAACAAGTTATTAACCCCTTTTAACCTTTTGTGTGATGTTTGCTGTCCGGACCCGGGCAAAACGTTTTGACTTTGTCCCCGGGGACCAGGCCTGTTTTCACTTTGTAAAACGTTAAAGGGGCCAGGCTGTTTGGGGAATCACTTCGTGAAAGGTTTGAAAATGCCCAAATTTTTTGTTTAGGTGACCCAGCGTGTTTTGTACAATATATTCAACCCGTTTTGATTGTTACACCATTTTCCTCAGGGGGCCCCAAGGCTTTTGGTTTTGGTGAAATTACACCTCGGGACGGAACCGTTGAAGGGAATTTTCACCTCAGTGGCCAGGCCCGGTCCCGATGTACCCCTAACCCCCAGGGGACCAAGGGGGAGTCCTATACCTCGGGCCCCCCTGTGTCTGGGTGTACACTTTAAACCCCAGGGGACCATGGGTGTCTTTTATTATTTAAAACCACACTCCCAAAAGGGAAAAAAGGCCCCGTGTCCCCCCGATGTACACTACACCCTTCCCCCCCAAAGGGGGGGCCCCCAAGGCCCGTTTATTTTACACTAACCCAGTGGACCCCCCCGGCCCCCCGTGTCTGATGTAAAACTTTCATCAGGGGACCAGGCTGTCTGTTTTAAACTAAACCTAAGGGGGACCAGGCTGGGGGTTTGATGTTCCTTAGGGGGGGCCTTTTATGTTCATCCCCAGTTGGCCCCTTCCATTAAATACCCCCCCGGGGCCCCCCCCTTTTAACTTTGGGGGGAAAACCAGTTTTAAACCACTTGGGCCCTTGGGCCCCCCAGTTGAAAAACCAAGACCCGCCCTTTTCCAAGGCCCCCGTGACACCCACGGGCCCGCCCCTTGCAAGGCCCCCCAATGTGACACCACCCGGGGCCTGCCCCCCCCCTTTTCCCAAACACATGTGGGCACCCCCGACTGCCCTGCCAAGCCAAAATGTGGGGCACCACCAACTGCCCCGCCAAGACCACATGTGAAACCCCCCCAACTGCCCTGCCAAAGAAACCCCATGTGAAAACCCCCAACTGCCCTCCCAAGACCAATGTGACACCACCCCCTGCCTTGGGCCAAGACCACATGTGACACCACCAACTGCCCTGCCAAAAACCATGTTTTGACACCCCTTTCCCTGCCAAGACCCCTAAGTGGCACCCAAATGCCCCGCCAAGACCACATTTTGAACCAAATGCCCCGCCAAGACCAAAATTTTAATACCGTTGCCCCGCCAAAAACCAAAAGGGAAAAACCCCTTGCCCTGCCAAAAAACCACATTGGGCCCCCACAAATTGCCCTCCAAAACCACATGTGGGCACCAAATTGGGCCCCGCCAAGACCCCCAATTTTTAAAACCAAATTTCCTGCCCCAAAACCAAAAAGTAAACCACTTTCCCCCCAAGACCACATATTTACACCACCCAAATTTTCCCTGCCCAAAAACCCCTTGTGGGCACCAAATGCCCTGGGCCCTGACTGAATTTTTCCCACCAGCTGTCCCGCCCCCACCAGCCCGTAGCCCCCACCCGCCCCCTGATGCCAAATAATTGCCCTTGTCTTATCCAAGGACATTTTTTTTTTACCTGTTTCCCCACCAAAAGTTTTAAATTTTGACACCCCCAGCCCTCCTTGACATCAAAACACCTGACACCACCCCCCTGAAAATTTACCAGCCCCTTAAAATACCCCGCACCCCCGACACTACCAACCCCTCCCTGACACCCCCAGTACCCCCCGACTTCTGGCACTGCTGACACTTTCCAGGGATCCCTGGCACCACCAGTTTCCCCTTGACACCATCAGCACCCCCCGATACTCCCGCACCCCCGGGCACTTCCAGATCCCCTTGGGCATCAGCACCCTTGATGCACCAAAAAACCCATTTGGCATCGTCCCCCTGACTTTTACCCGCACCCCCGACATCACCAGCAAAACCCCGGGGCAATTTTACCCGTCCCCTTGGATCACCCTTTTTCCCCTGTCAGCACTCATGGGCACCCCTAGTTTGCTAAAAAACCACATGCAAAAAAACCCC